AACAGCCAGAAAAGTTTGAAAAATCGAGATTTTCAGCCACTTTAAATCCTGACTGTGGCTTAATAAAAACTAGAAAAAGCAAACAAACCATTCTAACAAAAATATGACACCTTGATGTCACTTATACTGTAAAGAAACTGTGTAGAATATATCTCCAAGTAAGTGGTAACCAAGGGTACATTTGGAATACATTGAAAATGCTGAAATATGCTGAAAAACACTCCATATTCACTAATGGTAGGTGTTACATGCTAAAACTCAATCATCGACTTAAGAAAAACAATGAAAATGTTTGACCTTAAGTATATATGTATAAGCAATATTATTCTATAAATAAATTTGATGGTTGCCATGGTAACACAGTGTAACTATGCAAAACCAGTAACTAAGATTGGGTTTATGCTACTGTCTTGAGGAAAAACATGAAAATTCAAGACTGGCAAATATGCATCCTTAGGACCTTGCAACACCAAAACCATAAGAAAAATTGGGTAAAATTGCTTCTTTGCAGTGTTACCAAGGAAACAAAGTACCCATGCTTAAAAGTTAATTATTTTTCACTGCATTAAGAATTAAATTGCCATATAATCAAGAAACAAAGAAAAGGACTCAGCTTGAATAGTACTTATCTGTTAGAACTGAAGTTGAATATTATATATTGATAAAAAGTGATGAAGAAAACAACACTGTTGCTATGGTAACCAAGAAGGGAAAATGTTCGATTTTGTGAACTTTATATCAGTATTTAACCCTGTGTGCCAACTTCTTGCATCCACTTAGAGATTGGATGATAGTCAAAATTAAAAGTCAGGTTAGCTGTTAATAAATATCAATCATAAAAGTTTTGGGAATCTACATTTAAGGGTACGTATCCAAGGAAAGAACATATTTTTCAGGTTTTTAAGCATATATTTTCTGCTTATCTCCATAGCAACGCTCTATTTAAAGAATCTAATCTGAATTTTTTCAAATGGGAAAACTTGGAGCACACCAACATCTTTAAAAATTTATCATTAGTTATGAGGAAACGTGCTTTTTTAAAAGATAGGATCAGATTTAAACAAACAGAGTGCTACTTTGAAGGCTCTCTGTGGTGTAAAAACCTTGGCAACCATTGCCAACCAAAATGAAATATCATATTTTGTTCTTGGTATATGTTTCAAGACTCTTTTTTCTATTATTTAGTCACATTTCATCCTATAATTGCTTTTTATTTTTACGTGTATGACTTTATATAATTCAATGAATACTTTTTTTACTTTTGAATACTTTGTGACCATAGTAACGTATGTAATAGTTGATTTACCAAACATGTTTATCATGCATTTGAGACATCTGACCTTCAACTTTTGGAAACAGTCATTGCTAATTGTTTGCTTTGCCGCAAATGTTAACTATGGGGCTCTAAACATGTTAAAAAATGCCATTTTTCGAACTTTAAGACATGTTGCCATGGTAACTATAAAACATAGCAACCAATTTTTGCCTTATTTCAGTTTAGGGTATCAATGACTTTTATCATAGAGAGTTTGGAGAAATTCTGAGACTATGCGTGCCACAGCTCCTATATAGAATTTCAAATCATTACAGAGAATGGCTCTTAACATCATGTGTAGGTGAGAGTGGAATATTACTTCATAAAATTCTATTTCTACTTAAGGAATGTGGACGATGGAAAAGCTGACGATATCTCGTTTTTCATACAATTTGGCACTTATTGTCAGTAAAATATCCAAATATGTAAAGGATGTTTCAGACTCTCAGACTTTTATTTTAAGTTCACAAGGATATATCAAGTCGTTAAGAAAAATTTACAATTGTTGATGAAACGTCATCGATATACTTGAATGTCGATTTGGAGTTCACAACAAGTATTGTTTTTCTTTTCATATAGAAGTTTTATGGCAAGCCCTTTTGCTATTCATTCGGAAAATAAAATCTATCTTAAAATTACAGAGATATCTCTCATTTTAGAGAGATATCTCTTGAAAGATAGAGATATCTCCCAACTTAAAGCGAAATCTCTCATTTTTAAGAGATATCTCTTTAAGAATGAGATATCTCTTGAACACAGAGAGATATCTCTTCGGAGTCTTCCACTTGAAAAGTGATCTCTTATTCCTTGAGAGATTTCTCTTTCGTGAAAAGAGATATTTCTAAACGTTAAAGAGATATCTCTTTCACCTAGAGAGATATCTCTATTAATTTTGGAGATATCTGTCAAAGTTTAAAAGATAACTCTTAAAGTGAAAGAGATATCTTTCAAAAGTGTCTAAAAGAGATATCTCACAAGCAAAAACAGATATCTCTCTATTGCAAAGAGATATATCTCTTCATTATTTTTATTTAAATTGCATTTAAAATGACTTCTCACTTTACCGAAAGTTAGCCTTTTATTGACGGAAGTACAGTTAAGTATTTTTAAATTCGACATATTCATGATATTCTACATTATACATTTACTATACATCACAAGTAATTAAGTTTTGTCTAGCTTTCAAATTAGAAATAGTTGATATTTTATAAGCTGAGAAAATTCGATCCATTACATTTGAGTTATATATATGCTTACTTTCGTTTTCCTGAATATTAAACTTGTAGCATATTTATCAACGAAGTTGCCATTATTATTTCTTGTTTCAAGTAAGGGATTTGTCTACACATTTTCTTATAACATCGAAACTATTCCAGCGACTTTACTTCCTGTTTCGCATTCGTTTTCAAGTGGAGAATTAATTATTCTATTTTAAGGATCACTGGAAAAGGGATATCTCTTTCATTAAAAGAGATATCTCTTTAGCTTCTAAAGATGTCTCTTTTTTGAAAATTTAAAGAGATATCTCTCTAAGAAAGATATCTCTTTTGACCTTGTTAAAGAGATATCTCTCTAACTTTAAGAGATATCCCTCTCGTTTAAAGAGATATCTCTCTAGCTTATAAAGATATCTCTCTAAATAAAAGAGATATCTCTCTTACAAAGAGTGCTATCTCTTGTTTAAAGAGATATCTCTATAAGGTATAAAGATATCTCTTTTAGTCAATGAGATATCTCTATAAACTAAATAGATTCTAGAGGGATATCTCTCTTATTGAAAGATAAAATTTATTTCATGAATAAATAGTAAAAAGGCTTGCCATAAAGTTTTGTTAAATTTTGCATCATATAAAATTAATCAGTACATAAAAAGCAGAAGTAGTGTCCATCCGAATTTCAACAGTCCTGTATAAATTTTGACAAAGAGGAACTCCAAAGTTCTTTAAAATCAACTTCAGAGTACTTTATATATAATCAGAGTGATTTTTAAAATAGATTTTGCTGATGACATAAAATTTTCGAGTTCCGTGTATATTGAAGAAGCATTTGTCTCAAAACTATCTACTATGCAATTATAATTATTTTTCGTGATGAATGCTTCGATAAAGTGTAGAAAAGTCGTATATTTTGATGTTGTGGACTTTTGAAGAAAATAAACGGTGATACTAAGAATACTATAAAGGGTTTTCAGATTTTACAATCAATATCTAATTTAATTTAACCACTTTTAGAAAATTGTCGTAGCATAGTAGGTCTCGAGTTTTTCCTTTACATGTTTCATATTTTGTGCAAGGAGTAAAGATGAGGGGTTGATGGAGCATTTGCTGGACCAATCCTTGTAAGTGTGAAAATTTTAATGAACTTGAGGAACCCAGCACAAAAAAGGTAGTTTGCACTCACCATAGTTGACTGGTATGATAAGAAAATTCAACACTGAATATTTGTAAACCGGACTTTAAAGAATTTCTTCCTTGGAAAGTGAACTGTGAGTATATGGACTGAACTGTTAGCAACCTTCATATTTCAAAAAAATAAATAAAAAAAAAATCGAAATTTTTTTAGACAACATTTTATTCACTTTTGCAGGTTTTAATGTTTTCAAGTTTTGAGTGGCTTATATTCCAGTGTACCGATTCTGCTTAATCCTTTTTACTAATAGGTTCTTAACTATACGCTTTGCCAGAAAACATTTCTTTACGTACCACATTAAAAAAAATCAAAGTCAAATTGGAGCTGATGACATCAATACCAGCTGCAAAAGGATAATTTTTATAACACTAGTATATACACCGTCCAATTAGAAACGGTTGTAGCTGAGAGTATTTGTAAACATCATTAGGAGTGAAATTAAAAATAAAGAAATCGATAGGATATAATCGTCGGATATTTCCGAATCCAACCGCGAAATTAAGCTATTTAATGCAGGCAGTCACTTGGACAGTCCTGGCTCAATTGATACAATACAAGCTTATTTGGTGTCATAAAGCAGTGGAAATTGCCAACAAAAATATTCAATTTTGCAGTCCCATTGTTCATTCTCTACCAGTTCAAAATATACCTTTGTTACTTACAAAAACACTTGGCATCCTGCTGGATATAAAGTGACTTTTTCTATAGATTTTTTTTTTTTGCGAAGTCGACCCAGGTATATTAATTATATAGTTTTACCCAAATCAAATATCAACAATTTGAAACGATCTTCAAATATGAAAGCATTCTTCCTATTGGTTGGTGCATTATTTGTTTTTATACCTCACAAGAACGGGTCGTGATGTATAAATGATGTCTTGCTTAATATTTGACGTTGAAGAATTCGATTTTTCTTGGCATGGAAAATGACAAGCATGAATCAACACCTTAAAAGACTGAAACACTTTTTGCTGGCTTACCGTTGTAAATTTCATTTGAAATCCATAATATGTATCAATGCTTTGTGAATAATTGAGACAGGACAGGAAGTTTCAGCGAATCTTCCACAGCTAATAACCTTGATAGAATAAAGCAGATTGATTTTTAAGGCTGTTGGTAGAGACAAGCAGTGTATTGACAATCCTCATTTAAAACCAAGAAGTATCCGAATGTCGAAGATGATGTTAATTCAAACATAAAAATGAACGTAGAGAAAGAGCTGGCGTTGTAATGTTAGGTAAATACCATTCAATGTTATTCCAGAAAGGACTTTAAATTTCATTGATTCTTGGAGGGACAGACGTGTTACAAATTAGAAATCCATTAGCAGTTTCTTCGACGTGTTGCAGAGAAAAACAATATCAAAAGCAGAAAACATCGAATATATGTGCTTTGATTTATTGTTATATCAATACTTATGTAATTAACTGATACACTGCATAGAAAAGGTGACTTGGATGACGACAACGTTTGGGTGCCTTAACTTTCTTTTGGCTGCAATTGGAACCATCGAGAGAGGAAAGAAAAACAAAGAAGCTAAGTCTGGTGACATCGCGGGGCTTCTTTCCAACTGCGTAGGAATCAATACGGAAAGCTACAAACAGGAGTATATTTCATACGTTCCAAATCTAAAAACCTGAGACCTAAGTGTGACTGGAATAGACCAGAAGAGGCGGACCGCATATCTTCAATTTTATTGGATAATACATGCCATACGTCACTCATTAAGAAGAAATCAGAAGTTCTGATTGCATTTAGCTTATTTAAAGAGCGAAGGTTCAAAATCTCAGTTGTTTGTTTTGGAAAAATGTCCCCGGCATCGGAAACTATTAACCGGTAGCCTACTGTAGGCAATTAGTAATTTATTTATATATTGACCGTTGATAAGAGCATTCAGATTTGCTGTCTTGATTATAAGCTTCATAAGCGATAGACGCATTGTTTGTCTGGAATCATATGAATCCATCTAGCAACATCTTATTCATGAAGACTACACAATGGAAAGTTGTTGTAAGGACGTAGGATTCCATGGGGCTTTTTTAACAGTCTTCTTGCTTCTTGCAGGTAGGCCAATTTTTTTTACTTACCTGAAGTTTAAGTAGCTGTTTACTTTATAAAGAAACTATACAATGATAATAGCTTGAAAATAAATTAATATGAACAAAATAGTGTTGTGGAAAATCTTTATTTTAAAATAAAGAATCATATCCTTCATGCATAGCTCTAATCCTTCGACGTATTTGGCTTCATTCCTTGGAACCTTTTTTCTTTAGCTCTTCAATGTCTTTTTAAATTCAAATACTTTGAATTTCTAACGTTTCTGATCAGCATCACTGAAGAGACATATTTTTTCGAACTGTGTATCAAGTGTAATAAAAAATTATACCGTAAAAATTTACATTACAATATTACTTTGTTTTATTTAATATCTTTATTACTGACTATATACAAGTCTTTTGTATAATGTTGCATAAAGTAGAAATACACTGTATAAATATGACAAACTTGTGGAATCCAAAGCTAAAACCAAGAGCCGTGGAAGCGTTGCAGCTTCTCTGATAACCCTTGGAGAGAAAGTTTAAGGGCCTATTGGAGATCTTTTAAAGAATTGCACTTCATAAATTTGACTTCATGACAGTCTTCAAACAGAATTGTTGCTTGTGATCTCTGCTTCCCGTGCATATATCAATATTCTAAAAAGTCAATAGTGGGAATAAGGCTCTGGCTCCACAAGGTACAAGTAGTTGTTACGTGTTTACAATATCATTGGTCTTGCAGCACCTTTCAGAAAATTTCAAAGAAAAAAAGTCCTTTTCCTCCCATTTACATTGAAAGTATTAAAACAGTCTACTTATATATGATACTTTTGCTAAGGTTATAAAGATATGTGTCGGATTAAACTTTTTAGACACAGTACTGCTATTTTTTGCTGCTTATAAAGAATAACATTTATTTAATAGCTTTCTATCGATGATAAATCAACGGGAAAAATATTTGAACTCCCCGAATACTTCAATGCTTTCCTATGAATGATAATTTGCACTCTGATACCTTTCTTTGCAATGCAATAGTTAAATCTGGCTTTGAATAAACCCTGCATTTAAACTGGGTGGTAAATGAATAATTGTCAAATATTGTAAGAATATAAGGGCAAGTCGAATAATTCTTGCGACGTTAAGTCAATGATATTGCAAATCGTTTTAACGTTTAATTACTGGAATTAAATTTATTCTGTTGAAAGAAGTATTTGCCTACATGTTTGTAGTCACACCAATGTGGCCTCTAAACTTCTATTCAAATGATTATACCTTTCTGCTTCTATTTGCTATGTTTGTGATGGGGATAAGCAATAAAACACAATAATATATAAATATTGCTTTTTTGAAAATTTGTCCACTTTGTATTTATTTCTAATAAAATTTAAACAGATTGAATTAATAAAAGCACATAACAATAGACACGGTGTGAAGATTTCTATATGTATTATCAGTTAAAAAAATTGACCTTAAAAGTAGCGATGGGAAACGTGATTTTGAATTATTTTGATTGTTCGTTTTTTAATTAGTTTTGGTTTAAAAAGTTGTCCACTTATAAAGTGAAAAGTGTAATGCACAACCAATATTTTGCTCATCATAATTTACTTAAAAATCTCCTTGTTTGGACTTCTTAATTCTATTTTCAAGGAATTTTGTGGCTGTGTCGAGGAGTGAAAAGCAACAAATTTTGTCCACTGTATATTGGTTATTTGCAGACACATAATATTATACAGTGAAAAATATCTGAAATGAAATGTGGCCTTATTGCAGCAAAATAAAACATACCATTTAAAGTAATCGGTTCAACATATTGAATAGAATATCATACTTTTGTCTCTTAGTCTATGTACATGCATAAATAATATGAATGATTATTATATTAAAATACGACAAAAAATCATAATATGAAGTTTGAAGATACTTGCCTATTAAAATACGAGCATGCCTTTTCTCTCTTTAAATTTATTCAAACGTTGACATACAGGTGAATTTGTTCTGAACATTACTTGAAAAGAATTTTTAATCTATTCTATATAAAATCAATATACATGTGTATCATGGAATGTCTTAAAATGGTTTACAATAAACAACAAACATTTATCAAGTTCATTAAAACAATACAAAATGGGAGCGGAGCAAACACGAAACAATAAAATCAAACTCAAAGTCCCATGGAAGAATACACAAACACGAACGTAGGAGGTGTCATCAGGTGTCATAGAGGATTAAGCATTCCCTGTCGACAGGTCACACGTCCATGTGTTCGTTCTTCTATGTACACAATTCCGTGTTTAAATAATTACCGATAGTATAACAATTAGTATCAAAAACGTCGGCGATAATTCGACTATATGATGGACTGCATTTGCTGACAAAGTCAATCTATAAATTATAGAACATGAGACAACGTTTTACAATCAATCTTGATTTTCTGGGGAAAAATGTATTTAAGATCAAAATATGAGACAGTGCTCTTTCTACGAAGAACATGCTTGAAAATTAAAGGAAAATATGTTCTTTCAATAATGCAAGAATTTTATGCTAAAATGTAAAATTAAAGGATCTAAACCCTTATGATCAATAAAACCAAAATAAAGTTTAAAAATGTTTCAGAAGAAATATTTCCTCTTACAACTGAATATACAGTCATTATTGTACAGGACGACAATAATTCAATTTTGCTTCATTCGAAGCTTATAAAAAGTTCTTTCATAGCAAATATGAACAACAGAAGTTTATAAATGTTCTATTTTTTCTGTCATTTAAAATTTGCAACATTTTTTTCCGATGTCAAACATGCAGCTCATATTGCTTCAAGTCTCGCTTTTACATTCACCAAGCATCTCAAAAACTTTGATATGTCAATCTGCGTTTTTGTGAGGCCTTAGGAGGTGACAGTATGGCATGAAGCACTGAAAGAACATATTTTTCTGTCTTTACAATCAAGCTTGGCAACCGGTATTCCTGTTTGATTAAAAACACAGACTCTTTAAATAATAAGTCTGAATCCTATGGCAAACTCTTTCTCGTATCTGTCATTACCAGATGACACTTTAACACTAGTTTTCCTGCGTTCATCCTTCTTAATTTCCGGCTATCAATTCCCAATAAGACGCCAAAAAGCAATACCTTAAAACCTGATTATTTCGAATCTCTCGACAACAAATCAACATTGAAAAAAAATCTAGACGTATTTTTATGTGTTGAAGGTATAGGATTACTTTAGTACAATTGATCAATTGAAAGAAGTTACTACCATGTCTAGTAAAGAACTAACCGATTTAGAGCTGGTCCAAAGAAAATAGTTCAGTTAATGATCGATTTTTTAAATACTTCATGAAATTTCAATTGTTAAAATTAAAAAAAAGTCTATAAAAGGAGTACATGTATACAAAAAAGTTACTGCTAACTCTTGTGAGAAACTTGCTTGATTAGAGCTAGCTAGTTATAAGTTAATTAGTTTAAATTGAGATTTCTAGAAAACAAAGCGTTGTGTTAGCACAATAAATTAATCTTTTTAAAGAGCCAGTATATTGGCTTCTTTAAAATATAGTTATATGGAAAGTAGTGGTAAATGGTAAATGTAAAATAGAAGAACTAAATGCAATCTGATCATCAATAAAAAAAACTACTTTAACACTTCAATTTTTAGTATTCATTATTTAGAACCCTTGCTCATGATCTCAGTGAATGGTATAGGATACTCTTTTTTATCTATTTTTGATGCAGTCCTTTGCTTGATAGAAGAAATGGAATGGAGCGGTAATTTACTGAGTTTCTCCTCAGCAGTATCGCTTTTACTCTCTCCATAATGGTGATGTCTTCGATTTAATGATTACTTTTATACGTTATTAATAGCACCGGTCAATGTTTCTGTCCGAATTGACTCCTATGCATGTTTAGTTGAACACATTGTACATTACATTACATAAATGGTAAAATCTAAAAAAAAAAAAAAAATCTTATGTATAGTAGCTTTAATGAGATTTCAAGATTTTATGCTTTGTAGCATATTTTCACATTCATGTTTTAAACTGTTTGATTTTCATTTCATTTGATATATTATGGTATGAAAAATAAGACATAGAGAAAGAACTTGATTCATGAGTGAATAGGAAGATGATAGCTAAATGTGTAATCAATACTGCTAAAGCAATTAATGACAATGTCAGAGGAAATTATTTAAGACATGCAATGTTTTTGGGTTCAGTTTCTCCTGATGAAAAAATTATTGGAAATATAGGACAAAGTATTTTGAGATGGTCAGTTTCAATTTCAGACTATCTGCAACTGCAAATATGTCTGCATATATCTTTATATGACACTTGTAGGAAACTTATAAATAAATACTAATGCACACATGAAATATGCCAACAACAAACTGTAATCAAGATATATATTTGGGAATCTATTTCAAGTAGGTATTCTCTTGCTTAAAATATATAGATAAATACTAATGCACACATAAAATATGCAAACAACAAACAGTTATCAAGTTTGAAATTCGTTCAAAATAATACAAATTAGGAACAGAGGAACATCAGAAGTGGGATCACGTGCCACGGAGGAGTAAGCATCACCTGTCAATGGTCGCATCTTCCCTTTGATTCTTGTCATGAGGTCATGTGGAAAATTCGTTGATAATTCATTGAGAAAATGAAGTCAATACCATTATAAAGAAAAAAAATGTAAATTTTGCTATTTATCATGGTGCTGCCCAGTGCAAAATAATATAAAAAAAATATGAAAAAGTATAAAGATCAATAAAATCTAAATAATGTCATACTTATCTAAAATATAGCACATTTAAGCACATTTACTACAATTATAGGTGTATTTGAAAAGAAGCAGGTGGACAGAAAATATAATTTTTAAAGGTTTTCACTGATCAAGACCCAGATGCCGATGAGCAATATTACAAAATTAATTATGAAAATACTATTTACTAAAATTAGATCTATATACAGTGTGAGATGTTTTGTGAACATATGATTTACAAGTACAAGATCAATCAGATCATGAATGAGG